GACAGACATGCTGAAGCATTTCGGCTGCATGTGTTTAGTATAATGTCTGGACAGACACATGAAGCAAGTTTCTGCTTTTGAGCTTGCGAATATCTGTGTTTTTGTGTTACATATTGCTCAAGATATCGTGGCAGACAACAGAGCGCCAAGTGTAGCAGGAGACTGCCAGGAAACACATGTAAGCATATGGAGGCAGGACCAGGAACAGAGTAAGTAGAAAGATGGCCGACCTCGGCACTGGAGCCTACGACCGCAGAGGCCGAGATGTGCCAGCGAGTCTGGGCGGGAAAGGCTTCGACAGCCTGGGCGAGGACATGTCGGGCGGCAAAATACTTGAGTAATGTCTGGACAGACATGCTGAAGCATTTCGGCTGCATGTGTTTAGTATAATGTCTGGACAGACACATGAAGTAAGTTTCTGCTTTCTGGGCGAGGACATGACGGGCGGCAGGATGGCGAGGCTGTGGCGAGACAATATGCGAGCCATCTGGAGCCGCAAGTCGTTCGACATCCAGTTCAGTGCCTGGATGGACTTGGTCGTCGAGGAGGCGGAGGAAAAGAGCGGGCTACGAAGAGGATCCAACGAAGCATACAGAAGCTACCTTCGACGTGTGTTCGTTGAGAAGAGCCCGTTCAAGACGTACGAGCAGATGATGGACGACATAATCAATGAACTCGAGAGAAAAGATGAGCATGAGAGGTCTGAAGGACCCGGGACAGACCTCAAACCCTAAACCCTGAACCCAACCCTGTGAACCCTAAAACCCAATAAAACCTCGAACCCTAAAGAACTCAACTTCAAACCCCTAAACCCACTACACAGGAGATGGAAAAAGGAAAAGGAGGAGGGAACATGGACGTGGACCAGCGAGACTGGAGCCAGGCTGGCCCTGGGGCTGGGTAGTATTATGTCAGGGTTTCTATATCGTATTGTTTCCAGGCTTTCGGACTTTGAGATGAAATGTCTGGACAGACAAGCTTATATGAATGTTCGAAGTCCAAAAGTGATTTGAATCGTCTCGGCCTCGCTCTGTTTCAGGACGATGGAGGAAGTCACTGGTCTCACAGCGAGGCCATTGAAGCAAAACGCCATCGTTTGAATGCTGAAATTAGTTTTGCCAGGCCTGGTGGAACACTGGCTACGACAACGAGTGGACCTGGGGAAAGGACAACCAGGACCATGGCCGGAGTTAGTTGAGCACGTGGGGGAATGGTTTTGAGTTTGGATTTGTTTTAAATGTGCAACCGCCCCTGCAGGATGACAGCTGGTGCCAGAGCCAGGACCAGGATCGGAAAATAAAGTCTGGACAGACTTTTGTGAATATGTTGAAAGCATCGCTCCCTGCATAGGCCATGTGGGGCCAAGACTCAGGATGGGACGAGGCCTAGCATTGACATTGTAAAGTCTGGACAGACTTGTTTTAATCAGTCCCTGCTGGTAGGCCATGGGACAACAGGGGCAAGATTGGACTTCGAACCCAGTGCAGCCCGGAGGAGGACAGCCATCACAGCGGGCCCACACAGACTTTGTTCCCCCTCGTCTCCTACTGACACATGAACTCCCTCCCAACCCGGTCCGACAGATCGCTGAAGGGCTAGCCCAGCTTTACAAACAACAACAGCAGCAGCTCCTCCAAGGAGCATCGCACGTGAGCCAATCCTGGGGCCCAGACATGGGAGGATGGGACCAGTACCAGACCCAGGCCCGTTAAAGTCTGGACAGACTTGTTTTGCGGTCTCTAAACCATCGCCCTGCAGAGGCCACGAGCCAAGACCCAGGAGTATGGCCCCAGCAGCAGATGCAGGCCCGTTTCGGTTTTAATATAGTCTGGACAGACTTTTTTAGAATGTTAATTCCTGCAGAGGACACGAACATGAGCCAAGACTATGGAGGATGGAGCCAGCAGCAGAGCCAGGCCCGTCGCAGACAATGGTTGAAATATAGTCTGGACAGACTTTGATATGTGTTTTTATACACCTTCTTTTAGATCCTGCACAGGCCATGATGTGGGCCCAGCCCCAGTTCCAAGCTCCGCCGCAGGACCACGTCATTGAAAATGGAGTCGACAAAGAGGTATGTGTGTTTCTTGACACTTGCTTGGGCCTTTGTCGAGGAGACGATGCAGAGTCAAGATGATCGATGGGCTCAGGTGCCCCAGCAAGTGCACCAGGACCCCATTCAAATTAAAGTTTGGACAGACCGATATGGTTCTTTTGAGAATGCTTGGGCCCTTGAACAGGGGATGCAAGAGCATCCGCCTCCATGGCGACCTGAGCTCCAGAAGGACCCTGCATGTGTGATTCCACGTGGACAGATGTTTGTGAGCATGACCCTAGCAGGAGCAGGATGCACACGCAGCCCGTGCAGCTGCAGAGGATTGCTCTAGTGATGTCTGGACAGACAAGTATGTTTCAGAGATGCTGCCCAATTGCAGGCAAAGAAGCAGCCCCAGCAGGCACAGAAGCAGCCCCAGCAGGCACAGCAGCCCCAGCAGGCACAGCAGCCCCAGCAGGCACAGCAGCCCCAGCAGGCACAGCAGCCCCAGCACGCACAGCAGCCCCAGCACGCACAGCAGCAGCCGCAGCAGCAGGCCACGACGAAGGGTCACGACCAGGCAAGGAATGCATTTTCGGCCTTAATAAAGACCCCACCCTAAACCCTCAACACACCCTTGATTTGCAAAGCATGCTGGCAGGATGACGGCAAAGGCAAGGCTGCCGGGCCCAAAGGAGTGCAGGAGTCGATCGAGTCTGAACAGTCTATAATAATGTCTGGACAGACAAGATAATTAAGCTAATGCTAATTTTCAATCCAGGATCCGAGCAAGGGAGACGGGAAGACGAAGAAGAGCAGCGGGCCCAAGGGAATGCAGGAGTCGATCGAGTCTGAACAGTCTGTAGCCATAATGTCTGGACAGACAAGATAATTAAGAGTTTTCACTCCAGGATCAGAACATGAAGGGAGACGGGGGCAAGTCTGCCGCGACCAAAGGAATGGAGGAGTCGATCGAGTCTGAACAGTCTATAGCCATAATGTCTGGACAGACAAGATAATTAAGCTAATGCTAATTTTCACTCCAGGATCAGAACACGAAGGGAGACGGGGGCAAGTCTGCCGTGGGCAAAGGAATGGAGGAGTCGATCGAGTCTGAACAGTCTATAGCCATAATGTCTGGACAGACAAGATAATTAAGCTAATGCTAATTTTCACTCCAGGATCAGAACACGAAGGGAGACGGGGGCAAGTCTGCCGTGGGCAAAGGAATGGAGGAGTCGATCGAGTCTGAACAGTCTATAGCCATAATGTCTGGACAGACAAGATAATTAAGCTAATGCTAATTTTCACTCCAGGATCAGAACACGAAGGGAGACGGGGGCAAGTCTGCCGTGGGCAAAGGAATGGAGGAGTCGATCGAGTCTGAAGTGTGAACATATATATATATATAATAATAATAATTATTATTATTCCCTATGATTCCAACCACCCTAGAAACCTAGGGCGTTGCCATTACCACCCTACTTTTTCCCGTGGTTGGGAAATCGTGGCCGAACCACCTAATTAGGGACCAAGCAAACCCCCTTCCATAAAATAGAGACGATCCCCCGAACAACCTCAATTCGACCCGACGATGTTCAAGAGCCTGCGGACCCGAACCACCCTGAAATGACCCATTCGAAAATCGAGGAATGGAACTCGAACCACCCCGAAAGAGACCTCAACAATATGACCCTCAACCCTAGGGCCTTAAACCGTAGACCCCTCAACCCTAAATTCTGGGGTTGAAACCCTAAACCCAAGGGCCTTCGTACTGGGTCGGGTGCTGTGGCGTGGCTTTGGGGCTCTGGTACTTTCTCTGGGGTCTGGGGCTCGGGGACCAAGTTTGGGTGGGGGTCTCGGGTTGGGGTTTGCGGGTTTGCTTCGCTCAATTCGTAGACTGGACTTAAATTTTGGGGCACAGTACTGGGGCCTAGGGCCCTAAGCCAAACCCTAGGACCCCAAACCGTAAACCGCCGGACCCTCAACCCTAAAGCTCAGGGATCCCCAGGGCCCGAAACCTCAAACCTAGGACCCCCTCAACCTTAAACCCTGGAGCCTGAAACCCTAAACCCTAGGGCCCGAAACCCTAAACCCTAGCACCCTAAACCTCAACCTAGGGCCTTTATCCCTACACCCTAGGCCCCAAACCCTACACCCTAGGGCCCAAAACCCTAAACCCTCGGGACCGAAACCCTCAACCCTCAAACGCCGGAACCCCATCGATGTTTTCCGGGCGCTCGGGATCACGATTGTCGAGCCCTTTGGGCCGCACTGGCATTCAAATCCAATCGGCGAACTTTATATTTCATCGCCAAAAGCCGGAACCCAGCAACTTTCAGGACATGCCTTTCGTAATGTCGCCGCTTGTTGGACCTCGCAGAAAGTCCTCGGCTTCAGAAATTCTTTGAGGGGCCGAACTTATATGTCTGGGTTTTGGGCCCGGGGGTATTCTATGATGTCTTTGGGGTTGCTTCAGGGTTTGGGGCTCAAGTTCCAGGGCCCTCATAGGTCGATTATGGGTTTTCCAATGCCGACGGGGCTCTTTTCACATATGACATGTGGTCCTCGTCGAGGGCTCCATGAAGAAACCTTTGATTCATACCTCAGAGCACCAGCAGGAAGCTAGAACACGGTCGTGGTCCTTTTTGCCGTCAAGTGTCACCAATCTCGGGTCATGACGAGCTGTTCGTGGAAGGCCTCGGCCACGGCAGCCCAATTGCAAACTCCAAGCCCCCACCGTAGTCGCTGAGCAGAGCACATGAAATTTGGGTTTCAGCAGCCATCTTTTCAGATTCTTCCTGCCCAGCAGAAATGTGTGCAAAGGAATACCGTTTCTAGTGAGGAGCCCCAGCAGTCCTTTGGCACAGCCTTGTGAGGGCCACATGTGACTCCAGGAAGCCCATCCCCGCCGAATAGAGCTGCATGGCTTCGTCCACAGTCCTGGATTGATCGGGCTTAGGGTTTAGGGCTTCCCGTGCAGAAATCCATGAAGCCAGGTTTCAAAAACCGCCGGAATCTCTCGGACAAGTCCATATAGGAGGCGATCGAGGTCCTCGAATGAGAAGGAGAATACCACTACACATGAGACATTGTTGTCTAGCCACAGAAAAAGAAAACGGAAAGGGTGAAGGTCCCAGTGAAATTGAATGAGGGTGGAGCCGAGGGGCAGTGCATGTGTCATAAGACACAGCTCATCGCTGGGGTTTGCAGTACCCTGCCAGGCCTTCTGTGCCTCTGAGGCAAGCCAGGAAGCAAGAACCCGGCTGTTGAATCCCTTGCAACTCATATATGCACCATGCTTCGCTTTGTAGAGCATGCCAGGTGTAAACTGCCGCTGCGAACATGTAACCTTGTTTGCAGACTTCCAGTCGCAAAAGTCGGCCCAGGCCTTTTGAAGCCGAAGTCTGATGTCGACATCCGGCAGCCCCCACCAAGCCATGTCGAGAAGGCATGCCATTGCGCCCCCATTGGCAGTCCAGAGCCTCTTCGGACCATTGCCCCAAATTTAGAGCAAACTCGACAAGCGGAAAACCTTATTAAGGACAAATGCTGCCAGGAGACAAGCCCAAGTAGAGGTTGTGGAGCAAGCACCAGGTGATTTTGGAAGGATGAAAATCCGTCAGCAGCACCAAAGGCGAAGCATCGTGCTTTGAAACCTCAGCCAAAAAAGCCCGAGTGTCCCTGAAGTCCAGGTCAGTAGCCAGAGGCAGGTCTGCCATGTTTTGCCGCACCATTCGGCAATGGTGGCAAATCAAAGGAGAATTCCAATGGGACCGCAGGGATAGAGCCTCACGAAAATACTTCCAATCCCCACCGATCTCGGTGACGATGAAGCAGCGACCGTCCTGGGTCAATGGTGTGGCTGCTGCCCTGCTTAAAGCAGCAACGATATGACCAATGACAGGTTTCAGGGTTGCCCAGCCGAGGTAACTGTCATCCAACGACAAGATGGAAAGCAAAAAGCGCGAATTCCTCGCACTGCGTGGCCGCCACAACGGACAGCTGAGCACGAATGCGAGGGCTTTGTCGCCCATCCTGCAGTTCCACAAACACCAAAAACAAAATCATAATTCGAATAAGCATCTTCTGGAAAAAGCTATGTTCGAGTAAAGCCGAGATGCTGGTTGAACGTAGCATCGTCGCCGAAGATTTTCAAGGGAATCGGCCATCCTCCTGGCTGGGTCGAATAGTCGACGTGTTGAGCCCAAGGGACCCCGGCTTGCTTGGCCTGCGTCCAATAATCCTCGATGCTCTTCGAAGAAACTTTGAGACCCACCTCGTTCCAAAGAAAACGGAGAACCTCGTCGGCATTGAAGATTGGAATATCCTTGTATTCTATTTTGGTTTCGCTGACTTTCACAGGCACCGAGCACGAAGTCATCTCCTTATATCGAGCTTGCAAGGGAACAGAACACGTGTATCGCATGTACTAAGAACCACCAGCATAAAGCAAAGCCCCAAGCAAGCTTAAAACCAAGAGCCCCGAGCTTGTACTGATAAGAAACCCCACACAAAAAGCACAACCTTGACGTAAAAGGCTACTGGCCCCTGACCTAAATCGCGACCCGTGGCTCGAAGGGAAGTTTCGCGAAACGTGTAAAGTTCCGGGCAGCATTTCCCCGCCCTTGGTAGCTCGCCAGCTTCTTCGTTTTCGCAGACGAATGGCCACGGCTATCCTGGGGCTTTATGAATTCGAATTTTAATAAACCTAAACCCCTCAACCCTAACCCCTAATAAACCTTAAGCAGTTTTGGGGTGTAGCCGTACGTGTAGCCTTTGGATGGTTTTCGGGTTGAAGCGGGGTTATGGGCTTAACCTTGAGGCTTATAGGCCTTAAGAACAGATTGCCCAAAACGTGGGGCCCACTCCATCAGCACACGGGTTGAGCCTTTATGGGGTTTTATGTTGCGGCTTTAAGATTTAGGGGGCTTCGTGGTTTCGGGAGTTAAGGGTTGCGGCTTCGGCTGCCATGCTCCTTGGCGGCTGCAGCTGCCGCCTTCATCTGTCTTTGGATGCTGGAGGCCTGGGGCAAAGCTAGTACAGTATAACGTGTACAGGGCCGGCGTGAATACTATCTCGGGTGAAACCGAACCAAGAGCCACACCCCATCACCAATCTCCTCGAGCATATGCAAGAAAAAAGGGGCTTGCGCTTCCAGATCTTCATCCTCCGTACCTGGCATGCGGCTGCCGAAACCAGGGATCCATGGTTGATTGTGGGATGTGCTTTGTACAGCAAGAATCCACTGCAAGGTCCTTTTCATCGTCGGTCCGGGCCATAGCTAGGGGCTGGGTCTAAGGATTCGGTGCATTCCCCCTGCACGAACCCAACCAACCCGTGCTTTGCACGAACAGTCAGCCCTCAGGAGGCCTCAGAATCGTCACATTTGCATCATCCAGATCGATCTAAAGCGATCTCACAAGCACCGACACAGTGGCATCTGCACTGTGTCCAGGCTCCACGTTAGATCTCGATCCATATTCTAGAATATACTTAAGCTCTCTAGCTCAGTACAGGACGAGTGCCCCTAGCTGACGATCAGCTGTTTGGCAGCAGTGCCTAGAGCTAGTGATCAGGATCCTACTTGGAGCCCGGCTTCCCCTGATTTCCCTCGTCAGTTCTCTTGGCCGACAGCAGGAAGCGGTCGATGGCGTCAATCAAGCCGAGCACCACAGCCTGTTGGTCGGGGATCTCCTTCACCTGCTTGCTTGGGATTTAGGCTGAGTTTCAGGGGGCTTCTATGGCGAATTTGTGTTAGGTTTCGTGTTTTCGGGGTTGGTTCGGCTTTGGCATTTGCATGCTCTTTGTGGTTTAGGCCTAGCCATGGGCTTTAAGGGTTTAGGCGCTCAGAATTTGGGGTTTACGCAATTCAGGATGAGCTACAGCAGATTTTGCTAAACCTTTCGGGCATTGTCGTGCTGCTGGTAGTAATTACAAGATCATTCTGATATGCCCCCTAAACCCTGTAAGCCCTAAGTATAAATAATAATTAATCCCGGATATAAACCTGACACCGTACCTAAACCCAATGCTACTATATATATAACAGATCCCTAAGCCGTCAATCCCTTCAATGAAGGTCCCAGGGCCGACTTCGGGGATCGGCTTTGAATTGATGGGGACTAATTATATAGCAGGTTTAGACTTTGGGGATGGTGCCCAGACCTTGCCAGCGTCGATGAAGCTCTGCAGGCGGTTTCGCATCTTGCACACCTCCTTGCTTTTGATCTGCAAGTCGTCCAGGTAGGCTTTGCGGAGCACATCGGACCTCCAGAGACCCAAAGATTTCGGGGCATAGGGTTTAGGGTTGAACCTGGGACACATTTGAAAGTTAAGGGCAAGAGATTGGTCACGAGGGACATGTCGGCCAGCTCCGGCGACTTCATAGTGAGCTTTCCCACATACTGGATGCGATTGTTCGCCGTTTGAACAGCCTGCAATCCAGGGATCTGGCAGCAGCATAATTGGCCTAGACGACCCCCTGTAATGCACCTGAATCTCTGGCCTTCTCGGCATCTTTCATGACATCCGGCGGGCCCTCCAAGGCCTTCGGCTTCCGCGTCGCGGCTGCTTTGCCCTTCGCCTGGTGAAGCAGGACAGGTCTTTCGGATTTCTGTTGGTTTTCGGAGGCCTAAGGCCTAAGGGCACACCCCATTTATAACATGAACCCGTCTTGTCATGAATTCGAACCTGACACCGAAGCCTTAAACTGGAAGCCCTAACACCATAAACCTGTGCTGCCCCAAACACTGATCCCTAAAAAACAGAAGCCCTAAACCCTAGGACGGGAACTTCACGAGGGTTTGATTATGGAATTCCGGGTTTGGGGCTTTAGAGCTTCTGGGGCTTAAGGTTTCCAGGGCGAAAGGGTCTCAGGTTTAGGTTTCGTGCTTTGGGGTGTATAGGTTTCCCTGGGCCTGCCTTGGCCTTAGCAGCACGGCCCTTGGGGTACTTCACTCGTCGATTGCAGCCTCTGTTCGGGGAACCGCCGTCTTCGGACACCGTGAGAAGCCTGGAAATCCAATCCTCTTGGATATCCTCCTCCGCCTCGGAGTCAAGGACCCAGAATTGCTGGGCCTCCTGGTAGCAGGCGGCTAGAAATTGCAAGGTGCAATGTGTACGGCTGGGTTGGTAGGACTTAGGTATAAAAATAGACAAATGTAACACAAGCCTTGACCCCCGGACAATCGGGATGATCCCTGACTTCGGCAGAGTCTTTCACGGACCGCTTGTGCTCCACTATGGCTTCGGCCACTGTCTCTCCAAGCTTGCTGACCAACTCTTGGAAAGTAAGCCACTTTTTGACTCCCTTCCGAGTTTTGGTGTTCTTCGAGCACACGTTTACGTAGACACAGGACTTTCGCCAATCGCCCTCGGCATTGCACCAGGACTCGAAGAGATAGTGCAGACAGGTGAGTCCTGGAACAGCAAAGCCCAACATTAATTTAATATAAGTGATCATCAGTACACTGTGGGATCTCGTCTGAGGCTTGGGCTGCCCTCCCCAGCCGACTTGGCATTCTCGCCCACCGAAACGATCTGGTTCGGCGACCGTGGGCCTATGTCTTCAAACAGGACCGGGTATACACTAAACCCCATATAAGCCTATATCCGACATGATATGTATTAAGTGCAAGGGGCTGTCGAGGCTCCTCATGAACCGGGCCCACTTCGCATGTGCCTGCAAGTAGGCTTGTCTCTTCTTTGCCTGCTTGGCCTCATCCTGCTTTGAATCCGCTTCTGCCGATGGCTCCTCCTGCTGCTCCTGGCCACCTGCATTGTCCCCTGAAGCCCCAGGCTGCCGTTCCCACGACTTTTCCCAGCCCCCGCTCCACCAGCTGCTGTTGTTGCCGTACCACCAGTGGTTGTCCTGTCCGGCACTTGCATTCCAGGACCAGGAGCTCCAGGAATCATCGGCGCTCTCGGCAGCATCCTCCTGGATGGGTTTAAGCGTTTAGGGTTTCAGGGTTTAGGCTTAAGGGTTTTGGGTTAAGGGGTTTTGGGATTTGGGGTTAAGGGTTCAGGTTTAAAGGTTTACCGCTAAAGGGTTTGGGGTTTAAGTGTTGAAGAATTTAGAGGGTTTGGCGTTCAAGGGTTTTGGCTGTAAGGTTGAAGGGTTCAAGGGTTTAGGGTTCAAGCCCTGCAAAGCAGGAGAGCATGTTTAAATCCTCGGCGACAAGTCGGAGGTTGGAGACTTTAGGGTTGAATCGTTTGGGGTGTGAGGGTTTGTGGTTTTCGGCTGGGCATCGCTAGCATGGACCACAATCCAGGGAGAAA